CCTTTCTCTCTCCCTTTCTTCTTTCCTTCTAGATTGGAGGTTTCTTCACTTTCAGAACCTTTTTGGAAACAAAATATAAGGGTGAAACCTTAGCTAAATCTAGTACTGCTGCTGGATTTATAGTTAAAAAAGCTCGTCCTGTTCCTTTTAATAAGGGGCTATCTGCAGAAGAGTTATAGGCAATAGTTCTTTACATTTATATTATCCATTGTGGTTTACACATCTCTTTCACTTACATCATTTTACTTGATTCTCAAAACAAATTTATGAGATAGGTGTAGCATGATTTTTGGTCCAAGTCTTCTGACTCAGTGTTTTTCTCTTTTACTACACCATGCTTCCTCACCTCTGCCTTCTCACTTGCTACCTTCTTCTTTATCCTGCCCATTCTTCTTTTTTTTTAAATTTTTATTGTGATTTTGGTGAAAGTTTGGAGAGCAATTTCATTTTCCTTACATATTTTGCCTCATGACATTGACTGCGATTTCCTACAGTGTAACAGCTCTCTTCCTGCTTCCTCTGTAGTTGTCTCTTCCCTGTGTCCTTCCCTCCTTTGCACTCCTGCCCCCAAGTGGTCTCCCTGTGCATACACTGCCCTTCTGTTCTACCATGATTAATCTCTCCAAGGAGTGTATCTACCTGACATAAATGTTCAGCCCATATGCCAGTCTTTTATTTGGCTGGAAGCCACAGGAGTTCAATTCTAGACCTGAAGGGCAGCTAGGGACCATAGTCTCAGGGGTTTCACTAGGCTCTATCAGACCAGCAAGCCTGCTTTTTTTTTTTTTTTTTTTAATTTTGAGTTTTGTTCCACATTGTTCTCCTACTCCATTCGGAATCTCCTACACAGATCCCCCTACGAGTGGTTGACAGTGGTAGCTGGGCACCATCTAGCTCTTCTGGTCTCATGGTCAGATAGGCTGAGGATCGCATGGTCTGCCAGTCCCTTGGACTAATTGTTTCCATGCATCTTTGGTTGTCTTCATTTTTCTTTGCTCTAGATGAGGAGAGACTCATCGTTGCATCTAGATGGCCGCTTGTAAGCTTTTAATAACCCAGTTACTACTCACCAAAGTAGGATGTGGAATAATTTTTTGTGTAGTATGTTATGCCAATTGAGCTTGATGTCCCCAGGGACCACGGTCCTGAGCCCAGAGGTCCAACTACTTGCTTCCTCTGGGTAGCTGGCTGTGTATCCTGCCCACTTCTTAAGGCTTCTCAGTGAAGTCTTCCTTGATGACTCTACGTCATTCAATTCCATCTCCAAATTTCTGTTGTATGTACTATCCATCTTTAAGTATAGGGAAATATAATAAAAATACAGAAATAGGCACAAATCATAAGTGTACAGCTCAGTGAATTATTACAAAGTGAACATAATCAGCTCCCAGATCAAGAAATGGAATATTACCAAGAACCCCAGAAGCCCTCTTTGCTCCCCTTCCAGTCAATTCCAGCCACAACCAAGGTTAACCACAGTCTTAATTTTGAACACCACAGATTAGTTTTGCGTTTTAAACATGCAGTATGTACTCTCTTGTGTTTGTTGCTTTTATACACTTTATTTTTGAGATTCATCCATGTTGCTCTGTGTAGTAATAGTTTATTCATTCCCACTGTTGTGTAGGATTTCCTTATATGAAATTCATCCAGCCATTCTTCTGTTAATGGATATTTGGATCATTTCCATTTTGTTGTGTTTGTGAATAATGCTATAAACATTCTTCTACATGTTTTTTGGTGAACGTATGTAATTATTTTTGATGGAGTGTGTACTTAGAAATGAAATTGCTGAGTCATATGTATACGTTCAACTTCAATATACTGCCAAATAATTTTTCAAAATAACTATATTGTTTTACTCTCCCAGTAGCAGTGTATGAGAGTTTGAGTTGCTCTGCATTCTTGCCAACACTTGATATTGTTGTTTGTTTCTTTTTGGTAGGTGACCTTTATGCATTTTAAAATGTGATATATTGTTCTGTTTCTTGTGTAGTGAGTCGTCTTTCATGAGTTCCTTGAGGACAGGGATTCTGTTTGTATCCTGAAACTTGGCACAAGGATTGGCATATAGTAGACACTTAATAGAGGTTGGATTAATGGAGGATGCATGCATGGCATGTGTATGGACAAAGGTGGTAAAATTTGTTCAACAAAAATTTGAGTGTTTCTTATGCTTACTATACTGCTTGATTATGCTTTTTATCTGTTTCCTACTCATGTATCTTCTTGGTAGTGATGATAGAAAATAATCAAGTAGGTAAATAAATGTATAATTATGCATTGTAGCAAGTACTGGGAAGGAAGCAAATAGGCTAGGACTGTGATAGAGAATAATGGGATAGTAAGAACCTATTTTAGATTAGGTGGTCAGAGAAGACCTCTTTGAAAAACTGACATCTCAGTATTCTGGGGGGGGGGTGTATAATTTTTTTTTTTATCCAAACGTTATTTATTGATATCTTTTCAATTTAAATAAAGGAAAAATATATGTGTTTAAGGGTTGAGAAGAATCTTCTTTGTGGGGGCAAGGGCAAGAATGTATGTAGTAAAAACAAGTAAATGTTTATGTTCATAGATATATATAGATGTGGGGGAACTAGATTGTTGCCTTTGGTACTAGATGATGTTACGTCAGTAGTTCAATATCGTCAACTCTTGAATAATGATAGGACAGAAATACAGCAGGTGGTGAGATCACCACAGAAGGAATGTATTGGTTATTCTTGGAGCTATGAGGAGAGGGAAGTCATGTAACTAACAGAAGAGTGTTCTTTAAAACCAGTTTTGTGTTCTAGATGGACCATTACATTGATGTATGTGATGTAATGGGAGGTGTTCTGTGTTTAGTCTGTGTTTTACAAAGCCTGCTTGATACTTAGGGATTAAAGCACAGGGGGGACTGACCAGAAGAATCCTGACTAATCTTTTAATACCCTTGTTTGGAAAGACAAATAATAGTAACACTCTACAGTTAGAAATTCTGTTTTTCCTTCACTGGGAGTAAAGAAAATAATCATTTTAGTTCCGTGTGACCCATCTCTTCTTGGAATAAGCTGTAATTGAGGGGATAACCATCCTCATCCCATCCCTACCCCTTTTTATTATAAAGATAACATATAAGTAATTCTCATTCATAATCCTACTCATTTAACTCCTCTTCATTTCTGTGTGTTCCTGTCTAGACTCGGCAATATGCAGTCATGTTTATACATACTGTAAACCTTTTTTCATGAGCTGTGGTAGTGTAGTGCTTAAGGCATTTGACTGCTAACCAGAAGGCTGGCGGTTCAAACCCACCACCCATTCCTCAGAAGGAAGATGGGGCAATCTACTTCCATAGTGATACTGCTTCAGAAACCCAAGGAGAGGTCACTGTGAGTGAGATCTGACTTGATGCCAGTGGGCTAGGAATTTATTTCCAAAACTATGTTTATTGTTCTTGGTTATAATAATACCAACCTATTAGGGTTTTTTTTTTTTTTTTTTTTTTAATTGTGATTTGGGTGAAGATTTACAGAGCAAATTCACTTTCCATACAGCAGTCCACATATACTTTGTCTCATGTCATTGACCA